TACTTATCCAAAAAAGTGGTTAGCCCCCCCCCCCCCATTTAAAAATCATGGCTACGCCACGCGAGTAAAAAGGAAACAGCCGTTCGCGGTAGAGAGAGAGCGAGTGGGATGGGGCGAGAGTGTTTTCGAAAACTCGGATCGCGTACGCCCACGTGAAAACAACACGGTAACGCGGCGCCAAACGACGGGCGATAACGCGAACGATAACGACGACGATAACGATCACGACGACCGGCGATGTGACGTCACGTCGATTTTCTCACGGCCCGGTCGCGGAGAGCGCGCCGCGTTTTCCGCCGCTGACGCGCAATGACGTCATACGGACGCGCGCCGCGTGTCGTCGAACGCGATCGCCATTCGTTCGTTCGTCGGGAAACGTATTATTATTATTATTATTATTATTATGTGTTCTGTTTGTTCATCGCCCGTCGTCGTTTCGTCCGCGAGAGCGTACACGACGAGTGTTACCCGCGTGCGCTCGTCGAACGGCGGACGGAATGCGTTACGAAAAAAAAAAAAAAAACAATGTAAAACAATAGGGACGAGGTCGGCAACGAACGGTTGTTTGTGTTGGGTCGCATGCGGACGCCGAGAGAGATGCACGCGCGCAGGAGAGTGAAAGATTATTATTGTACGGGAACCGCCGATTTCGTCTGCTCGTTTTTTGTTCGTCCGTTTGTACGTTTTTTTTTTTTTTGCGCGTGTGCTACTGCGAAGGACGCGTCGAAACGCTTACGCCCGCGCGATCGACCGGATGACCTTTACGTCGCATCATCGCGACCAATGTTTTTTTTTTTTTTTTGTAAATCGTTATCGCCACTGCGTCGCAGTGGATTATCAGCGATTCGGATCGTTCGGTTCCCGTCGGATCGGGGAAATCCCCGCGGGCGTTTCCGCGGTCCGCGAACAAACGTCGACCGTTTGAATTCTCTACATCCGAAGCGCGTTGAGACGTTTACGCAGCTTAACGTTTCGCATTTCCCCGTCGACTTTGGGCGTTCACGCGAATTCCGCCTAGGATGTTTGATACGTTCGTACGACGAGAAACACGTTTTTTGAAAACAATTACGACCAATACGTGTTACAACCGTAATCGTTTGCGACTCTTTTGATGAAATTAGTGATCCGGTGTAGTAACGTGGTTTTGAAATAATTGTCGTTAGCAAGGCTTAACCCGAGTCCTTTTCTCGGCCCCGAATTATCAGTGGTATCTGCCGCGTTAACTTTATTTCTAGTCATGAACTGATGTGACGTGATTCGATTGTTCGCACTCGTGCTTACGGATAAATTTCGTATCGTGAAGATGTTGAGGTTATTCAATGCACGTAAATATTGAGCGCCGACCTTCTACCCGGATTGCTTTTCGATCGCGATGATTCAGCGATGTGTTCGAATTGAAACGAAAAATACGACCAATACCCGGAACCAGAAACATCCACGTCCGTCGTCATTCGGCTTCTGTTTTTCGTCGGATGGATTTTTCTACGTTCTCCCATCAACACTTCAAATTCGTTCGTTCGCCCGTGCGTGTTCCAGATGCATAATCGCACACCGACGGAGCAGTTGCGAACGGGGTTGGAACCCCGCGC